CTGACGCATGCAGATACACACCAGGAACCTGGAAAATAAAATAAAAAACATTTAAAAAAACATGTTTCATTGATATATATACAAAATTAATATTGCGAACTATATTTATCAAACATTATACTGGGCAAGTAAAAATTGTTTCTGGGCAAATTAAATGTGAAAGTTGTAAAAATCCTTAATGTCAACCCCTAAAGTTTAATACCGAGATCAAAGACATCTTTTTATGCAGTCTGGGTGCATCACTGCCCCCCTCAAAAGCTTTTTGCCTACCTCCTGAGGTGGGCGGCCTCAACTGATGCTTTGTAATGCCCATGAAATGATACACAAGCATCATTTCATGGGCGTTACACTTGCATGTGTTATGCATAAGTTAGGCTGTAGTTGGACATAAATTCTGGACTTGTTACGAATACTGTATGTATGCGTCCAAAATTGAAAAAATTCATAGAAAGTTCAGCGTATGCCAGCGTTTTAGGAGGTTCTGGGACGTCGGGAGCACGCTGTCTAAATCAGCAAGGTGTGACAGCTAGTTATGGTCTTTTAGTGGATCTGATTAATAGAGATGAATACTCACTACCATTCAGAATAATTATCAAAGCTTGCAGATGCTCACGTCTAAAGTTAGTTTACTCCCTGTTTAATTCGTCTCATTGATGATTCAGTTCAGATTCGTATCTTGGTTCAGTTCAAGATAGGACTTCGTAGACAAACTATCAGTGGTGCTATGGTTTATTGTTAAGATCTTCCTTCCAGCTGTCCAGACATGCCGTGCAGAGCCGGTTGCCTTAAACAGACAGACAGGAAGTCATTGTCATTATTAAGAGTTTAAAAAAAAAGGTTCTGTGGAAATGCTCAAATTTGGTCAATGAACAAGACGTTGTGCATGTATTATAATATTGCAAATTGTACATGTAAAATAGCCTTGATCTTACGAATTGAGCTGCATACCTCACAGGGTGAGACATAAAATCATTCTGTCTGTCAGCTAAATGGATCATTAGAGTTAATCTGTTTTAAAAATTGGATTTTATATTAATGACGCATTCGTTTTTTTGTCTGTTTTTCTTTAGAGGAATGATGAGTCAGCTGACTTCTGCCGGAAATCATTCCCACTTTGCTCGTCTGTTTTTGAAGCAGCTTGTTCAGGTACGTTGGCGCTTCGTACGTTTTTCTAAATTGCTAACTGTAGTCTTTTATCTCTCCTGCTTTCTAACGTTGCATTCTGTCCGCTCACAGATGTGTAAAGGCCCCCGTACAAACACCCCGTCAGTAGAGGCACCCGACGCCGACCTGCTGGGCATGCTGGGAGCTGACAGCCTGGGTCGCCTCAAGCGTCTGGAGGAGCGACTCATTCAGCCGCATGGAGTGGTTGGCCCCTGTCCTCCTCCATCCTTTCCTGGCCACCAGGAGTTCTTCAGGGACTTCATACAGACAGCCAGCTGGTGAGAAAGCAAATATTTTCTCTGATTTAGATTTTGAGTTAAAAGACAACCTTAGGAGGATTAGGCTTGACCCGGAAAAAAAGTTAAATGAATAATATTTTGGATCATTTTGATATTTTTCTTTTACATTTAAAGAATAGTTATAATAACTAAGAAATATTTTAGATATTTTTCCAGTTTTTTTCCTTATTTTCTGCATTTAAATAATAGTTAAAATAACACCTTAGATTATTATATTATGCACTTTAATAATATTTAATATAAAGAATAATTTTTTTATCTTTCTTTTTTTCTTTGCATCTTAATAATAGCTAAATAACTAAGAAATCATTTTCCTTTTTTTTTCTTAAATTTTTGCATTTTGATAACAGCTATAATATCTAAGAAATAATATTTTAGATAAATTTTCCTTGTTTTCTGCATTTAAATAATAGTTAAAATAATTAAAAGAAAAAAAAATCTAAAGCAGATTTTATTTCTATCCCCGTATTTTTGGGTCCCAGCTGCCAGATGAACCAGCACCTGCAGGACAGCCTCTGTCAGCAGCTCCTCCAGTTGGACGAGGTGTCCATCCTGAGTCCTGCTGCCTCCACTGGGGACGGAGAGGACGAAGAGGATGGAGACATGGAGCAGCAGGTAATCCATTCAAGTGCTTCCTTTATTACCAGGTAATGCTTTCTGCAGAGTTTTTGCATCCAACATAGATTTTCTTGCCTTTTCAGGATGAGAAGCAGCGGTTCACCTCAGTGCTGCTCCTGGCTCGTCTTCTGGCAAAGTTCCTGGGATTCATCGCATTTCTTCCCTACCAGACATCAGAGAAACCCTCTAAAGAAATCCAGGAAACATCTGTAGCCCTGCGCAGTAAGGTGATTAAAAAAATGATGCTAGATTAGATTAATTAGACATCCTTAATGACTAAGTAGTTATACCTCATATTGAAATGTCCTTAACAACTAATGGTTTCCATTCTACAGAGTGTCCAGGTGCTGGACGTCTGTGCTGTGTTGCAGAACAGTGTAAGGAGGAGGCGAACCATTTTAACCATACCTTGGCTGGTGGAGTTCCTCTCCATGTTGGATTTCATCGGCCCTCTGCTTCTCTGCTACAGGGGGGCACTGGGCACCCTGCTTCTTCTCTACAGGTGGGATTGTCCTCCTTTCAAACTGTGTCACAGATTCATAAAGTGGGTATATTGAAGAAAAAGTATGTTTTCTGACCGTTAAAGCAAGAAAATTTCTACTTCCTCTGGAAAATTTTAAAGCCTAAGTCTCAGAAAAATAAAATCAAACTTAAGTTTAAAGTTTTTATATAGCGATTTCTATTATTTTCTATGAAAAAAAAAGATCTTCATTACAGGTATAAAATGAATTTGCATCTATTAACATTGAATTGAATGGAATTAAAATCAATGTTACAGTCCCACAATAGAGGAATTCAGATTATCAGCAAATCAAAAATGTAAATGGAAGCAAACAGCTCATCATAAGACTAGATAAACAAGCAAAAATGAAAAAGGTTGTACTGAAAATAAAAAAATAATCAAAAATATCTTAAAATGTTCAAACACAACTAATTGTTTTGGTTTTTTAAGCTATAACAGCTCACAGATAAATGCACTCTGACGTTAGCTTTATTCATCTAGATTTGTGGGTCCTGAACTGGGCTAGATTTATTCATTTTTTAATGTTGGAATCACTTCATTGGTTTTTACAAATGAAATAAAAATATCAAAGATCAGAAACTGCTTTAAATGAAGCAGTGCTGATCATAGAAACCATAGAGATCTCTGCCTTTCCAGAAATTCATTTTATAGATCCATAATATATATAAACCATATTAGGAACCATTAGAAGTTGTGACTATTGAATTCAGAAAAAAAAACCTGTGAATTTGTTTGAACTGAAGCCTGTTGTGTGTTTATAGGAGGCTGCAGCTGAACCGGCATGAAGAAATGTGCTACCTGAACAAGCTGCTGCTAGTGTCCGTGTTGGGGTGGCTCTTTCAGGTCAGCGACAACATGTTTGTGACCCTGCATAAAACTATGACATTTAGTTTAGTTATGTTGCACATCTGGATAATAAAGCAAAAAGACAACGTTACATTGAAATACATTTACCAGCACTTATTCCCCTTCTGTTAGGTAGAAACAACATTCGGTTCATTAAAAAGTTATGCTGCAAACATTTGTTTAAAAAGGAAAATTCTTTTTAAAACACAAAAATTCAAATCTATCACCTTTTTTGGTGCATAAAGCAACTAAACCTGTGTTTCAAACCTGTGTAGATTCCAGTGATTCCTGAGGACATTTTCTTCACCAGTGAGTTCACTGCTCTGGTCCAGGAGGAAGATGGGGTTACGGGTTCTACCGGACTTGTAAGGACAAATTTTCTTAGTTTTTTTTCAAGAGAAAAGCTTAAATTTGCGTTTAAATGGTTGATTTTTGGTTTCCCAGGACTGCATCCCATTGGTGGATCAGCAACTTCTTTACACATGTTGTCCGTTTCTCGGTGAGTGCAGACGTTCACATAAAAAGCCCCTTTGACTGTTTTCCCATTTTTTTTTTTTTTTTTTTTTTTTTTACAAATTACAGACATAAAATCCATTCAGTGCAGCTGAGTTGCTGAAAGTTAAGGGAAAATTTGTTTTTAATTATAATTTAAATGTTATTCTTCTTCTTTTACTGTAAAATAATTCCAGTAAAACAAGGTACAAGTCTGCTGACAATCCTGGCAGAAAACCTTCAGTTCAAACTGATTCGTCAAAGTGTTGATTTATTTCTATTTTATTCATATTTTTTGCTTTGATAAATAAAAAATATGCATAATTTTCCCTTCAATTTTCATTTGTGGAAAGCTCCCCTGATTTCACAAGCTTCCATGTACTTTGTTGCAGCTGCTTTCCATAGAATAGAGGATCTTAGAGTTTATAACCAATGCACTGTAACATCCTGATGTTACAGGAGTGGATTCATGTTTTGCTTTGTTTCCGTCTGTTCAGGTGAGTTTCGTAAGCTGCTAGCAGCTTTCGTCTCCGGCAGCGCAGCTAGGAGTGGAGGAATTATCCGCAAAATTACCCCCACTTCTGCTGAGCTCAAGGACACGCCAACCGCCAACCGATCGCAGCACAAGCTGCAGGTGAGTCGGCTACGCCGAGGCTCTGGGGCCCATGTGTTTGAAATGGCTTCCGATTGCTTCTCAGTGTCTGAAAGGAGTCCCTAAATGTGACAGGTGGACCTGGAGCAGGCCTTCTTTCACAATCAGCCTCCGTCTTTGCGCCGCACAGTGGACTTTGTGGCAGAGAGAGTTGGATCCAACGCTGTCAAGCATATAAAGTTAGTATTACTGGAAGGAAAAAGGGAAATTTTAACACAAAGGTTTACAGTCCTCTAATATACTTTGACATGTCCTCCATGCATTATTTCAAAACAAGAAAGACTTAATATGGTGATAAATCACAGTGTGAATGTTTGTTTCCTAAGAGGTCTGACACTCCAAGCACCGACAGGCTTCTATAAATTCATCCTCATTTCTAAATGGATCTTCTGCTCCAACTGAGAGTAAAAAGCATCTTTATCCTGTTTGGTTACCTCTCACAGGGCGACGTTAGTGCGAGAGTTGGTGGACAGCGGAGAGGAAATGCTGAAAGATGGGCTGCAGTCGCCGAACTCAAATGCCTCCAAGTTGAATGACTCCATATGTGCTCGGCTGTGTGATGCCGGCTTAGAATCACTTGGAAAAGCAAACAGGTGAAAGAATGTTTTTTAGTTTTCTGTAACGATTCATTAAGAGGCAGGTTTTTTTTATTATTTGTTTTTATATAACATGCATCATTTTCATCATTATTTATAGAAAAACATGTGGTGAAACATGTTTACACTTGCTTTTTTTGTCTCTGAATGCATCTCACATCTTGATTAGTTTGGCCACTTTTTCCTTTAGGTTATTTAAATCAGAATGTGAGAGAATCCAGTGAGTTCCTGTTGGATTCCACTCTTGACTCCAGAAGAATTAAGGTCAAAACTGAGTCATACTTTAAACTTTCACCTTAAAAAACAAAGAAATAAAAATAGGATTTGGATCAAAAGAGAAGCTATCCCACACTGCAAAAAATTGGAGTCTAAATAAGTCTTTTTTTTTTCTTGAAAAATGTACGTTTATTATTTAATTGAGGAGGTAAGTGAGACACTTTGCCAATGAAAAAAATTACATTTATAAGAAAAAACTATTGCATTGCCTTATTTCAAGAGCATATTATATAATTATCTTATTTTAAGAGTAAAAAATGCTTATTTCATTTGCAAATCATCTCGTTTATCTACTGAAATTAAGGGTAAATACACTTCATTTAAAAAAATCTTTACTTATTTCTAGATCGTTTTTGCAGTGCACCGTATGAATCAGCTGCCATAATATACCTTTTTGGAGTCACGGCCCAAATTTGGGGATGCAATACCTTAATGCATTTTCTCCAGGCTTTCAATGCTGCCTGGAAAAGTCTGGAAGCAGCTTTTTTTGTTTGTTTTCCAGGTCTCCAAAACGCAAGATTGGAAGATTGAGTTTGTTCAAATGTTTAATCTTCTTGTCTGTTTCCTTTTTGCCTATTTTTTTTTTTGTTCCACTTAATTTTTATTTAAATTTTTGCAACTTACACAGACATATACATACAAGCCCACATTCAGGCTGCTGCTCTATATGGTATACTTAAAAAAGAACAAAACTTTGAAAGTATATACAACAAGTTAAGCTTACAAGTAAAGTAGGTCACATGGTTAAACATAAATGTAGTTAGTAATTAAATAAGCAGCACCAATGGAAATTTAAATTGAATAGAAAATATTAAGTAAAGATAAAAAAAGTACAATAGAAATCAAATAGAATACCAATGAAAGAAAGAAAAAAATAAAAAGTTTCCTTTTTGCCTATTTTTAAGGTGATAAGCATTCTACCCGTTAGTTGACAGGGGTCATTATTTTAACATTGCATGAACTTTTTGCTTTGGTTTGGGTCTGAAGATAACTTTAAATGCAGGTTAGGAATCTTAAAATGGGTTGAAATCCAGTTTTAGTGATATTAGAGATAAATCGACCATAAAATAGTCTCTTCTGATTTGACCAAGATTGAAGGCTTTGAAAACTGGACTAGATGGTCCAGATGTCACAAAAGCAGTGACAATATTCTTAAGTCTAAAACCTGAAATCAGTTCTAGCATTTTTGCTTTTATTATTTAGAGAACGTCCAGGTACTCAAATTCACCAAAAGTTTTTGGAAAAAAACAGCAGTTTGGAGCTTAGCTTCATTTTTCAAACTTTACAGTTTCATGTTTCTGGTTATATTTGTGATCATTTGTTTCTTTTTATGCAGATTTTGCAACGAAAAAAGCCCTGACGCCATACGTATTCTGCTCCCTGTAGAGACCACACCAGCAGTAAGTGCTGAAATCACATGTTGTCAAACCTTTTCCCTCTAAATTTGAAAGTTAGGCTATAATCAAACAGAAGTGGGTTTATTATTTTTTTTTTTTTTATTATTTGTTTATTTTCAATTTCCAGGTCCTGACTACATCTGAGAACATCACCAAACGCTTAGCTGCCGAGAAAGCTTGCAGCTGGCTTTCTGCAAACATTACAGGTAGCTCCTGTTAACAATTAGTCCAAATCACATTAAATGATTGCGTACTTTATATCCTTATTCACAGTTTTATAAAAGATCTTAGAAACGAATGAAATCTCTGACCATCTATTTTACATGAGCTAAAACAGATCCTCGGCTTAAAGCTCCATGAAACGCATCTAAAAGTTCAATCTGCTCCTTCTCTTAAAAGCACTGATCAGGCGTGAGTGGAAGAGCAGGTATGAGCGTGTGATAAAGGCTCTCAGGAGTCCAGTGGCTCCAGACTCGATGGACCCGGACGGCGCTGAGGCTGAACTGGTCAGACAGGGCCAGGTGAATACACCCAAGAGGAAACAGGAGAGACTGGTCTCCTGTCCTCCTAGCTGCAAACACAACTCTCCCCTTCCATCAGACATCCTCATTGAGATAAAGGTATGATGACTCTGGCTCTATATGATGACCTCAAGCTGCTTTGCAAACTTAAATTTTTTGTATTTTCATATTTCTGTCACTTTTTTGTTAATTTATCACTAGGGATGGAATGGTTTATGAAAACCGTTCGGTTCGACTGTC